CAATCGAAGTTATCACTCACCATCCGCCACCATCTCCGCTTCTCATCTCATCTTCTCCGACATTAGCTCACAAAATAAAAACCCTAATTTTCAGCACAACAACATATTGTCCTCCAAATTTGTTCTTGTTCGAGTTCGAATTATAAATATAATATTTAAGACTTTATAGTTACTCAAATTTTCCTTGTATCTTTCAGTTTCAAGAATTTAGAGATGACATATAAAGGGCTACAACGTAAAATTTTATTCTTTAAAAGAATTGGGAAAACTTACAAAATTCATCATTTGGGTTAATTAATTGCCTAGCTTGTAGCCACACAAATTAGGAAAAAAGAGAGATCTATTGGAGCCTCCACAAAAACTAAGGATCTATGGGTAAGATTTCTATTTTTGTTTCTCATTTTTTATTTTATTAAGAAATCTAAGAATTCTGACAACCACTTGTTTTTTATTTTTCAGAACAAATAAAATATTCTATAGAAATTTTAAAAATGACAAAAATACTTTTAATTTGTTCTAAAACATAAATAAAAATAATCTACCATTTCTATTTTACTCTATTAAAAGAGGAAAATTGAAACAAAGAACAAAATTAAACTGAGAATAGAAACCGGCGCGGGCGCCCACAGACAAGATGATCTCATCTGTCATTGTTCTTTACCATTCCTTCTGCCTCAAAAACCTTCTTGAAAAAGACGAAAATGGAGTCACGGATATTTCGCCCTTATCTACTTATTTATGGTTACCCTTTTTTTCTTTTTCAGTAGTACCCTATTTTATTTTTAACAAACATTATCATTATGGACCACAACACTTTGTAATTTTTCACATCATGCATTCATTGCATCACATGATCAACCACACCAAACCAGAAATATTAATAATTTTATCTCACAAAAAAATAATTCCAATCTCTAATTAACTTCAAATCACTCCTTCCTTCAGCAAGGAGACCAATTGTTCAATCTACATCAACATCATCTATATTTTATTGCAATAATCTTTGATATAATGGAAACCAAAACATTTCTATGTGATCATCATATGCATCTCTTTTTTTCTTGCAACCCCCAAAAACAAAAGATGAACAAGTAACCACATTTATATATATATATATATATATATTTATATAAGCACCTTCAAAATATATAATTTAATCTTTGATTGACTCACGCTTTTTCCCTTTTTTTTTTTCTTTCCAACTGAACCATAATGAAATATCAAGTTAATTAATTAAAGCAAGATAGGAAGAGGAAAATGACATAACAATTCCCATGCTCACAACTAAATTCATGGCACGAACTGGTCGGGTTCCTCCTGGAACTCTGCGCCGCCGTTCTGGTACCTGCTTCCTGCCATGGAGTTACCGTACTCGTACGTGTTGCCATTGGTATTACCAAAATAACCCCTGGGCTTTCTGTAGTGGTGAGGCTCCCTGTCGAGGTCATAAAAGTATTTTCCATTCTCCATGAACCTCGTGTCGCTCATCCCTTGTCTCTCCGCCACGCCGCCGCCGCCGCCGCCGCCATTGTAATAACTGTTTTTTTCCTGCTCGTATAACGGAGTTGTGGTGTAATCGCCACGTGAGAGTCTCGTGCTCCCGAAGTTCCGTCGTCCGTTGTCGTAAAGATCCTTGTTGTAGTAAAACGAATTCTCGTACGGCTTCGAGTTGCCGTTTTGGAAGTTGTCGTTGCTGTAGTCATTATTGTTGTTGCTGTCCTCCTCCTCGTAGTACTCCTCCGACTCGGCTTTGTACGAAACGTCGTCGTTTTGGTAGTTGTAGTTGGTGGAGGTGGTGGTGAAGGGGCGGCCGGCGGCCGGATCGGAGAATTTGGCGTCGGAAGGAGGGAGCTGGCCGGATTCATGGCCGTAGAGACCGTAGCCGCTGTTTTGGGCTTGAGGGATGAAATTGGGCTCTTGTTGTTGTTGTTGCTGCTCTTTTTTTCCTGGTTTTGTTAAAGGTTCGATGGGGATTTCGGTTTCTTCCTTGACGCCATTGTTGGGTACTTTGCTGAAGAAGCTGCTCTCTCTTGCATGAATTTGGAGTAACAGAAGACTGAGAAGAACAAGAACAGAACAGAGCTTAACAGAGGAAGCCATGAATGGGAATTGGAAGATAGAAAGTTGGGTGAGTGCCGTTCAAGTGTATAGTGGGCGAAAACTTTTATAGAGCCCCTACTCATTAGGTGCAAATGGGTGGGGGAAATTTTGATATTGGTGGACCCTACTCTTTAGGAGAACTTGGAAAAAAAATCGTTTGTTTTAATTACCATTTCCATCATGTAGGCCAATTGGCAATTGCGTGTGATTGCTGTTTTTATTAATGTTACACCTTTAAATAAAAATCTGTCCTGGTTAATTATTAAGAAAAGATTAGCCTATATATATCAAATTAAGTTTGATTTAATTAAATATTTTATGCAAAGGTTATTTCTAGAATGGATGGCATTGATTAAACAACAACTCTAGACGTATGTATGGAAGAAAGAGGGAACGGAATTATTAAGCCGTGGGGTGATTCCTTTTTTGCTAACCTTGAAAGCAAAGGCCAAATGTGAATAATTAAAGAGGGGAACAACATTGCCCTTTTGTCGCTCTCTTTTTATATATAATTTTTAATGGGCATGGGGAAAAAGATAACATTTAATTCATTATTTTTAAAAATAGAGGTACATGGAAATTAAATAAAGTGGAGTGTTTGGTTTGGGTGAAGAGATTGATGTTGGATTGTTGAAAAATGTTAGAAGCTGAATAATGGAGCTGCAAAAGCATTCATTTTTTTGCCACAACCGTACCCACCAGCACCTAAAATTGAGGTGTGCAGGTTGCTAGTTTAATTTTTGACCATTCTAACAATTATGAAACTCCAACATATTTTAATTATTTAATTAATTAGACAGACTTCATTTTTTTTTTTTTGCTAGTTTAGCTAAAGGAAGACCTACGAAATACTTTAATGTTCAAAGAATAGAATGTGATACCTGATACTGGAGTGAGGTCCTCTATTTATAGGTGGAATGTTCAACAAAGTATTCAATCGTCGGATAGTTCATTATCAAATGTCGACCTATCAAATACATAAAATCGAATATGAATAAAACCTTCAGTCAAATAGAAGTTTACTAGCGGGTTTTATGAACTTTCCTCTGTTGTCCATGTGTCAAGGCTATCACGTTACAAATTAAGACCACAAGTAAATCTCATCTAGGGATTAAAACCAAATTTGTAATTGAGCAAAAAACAAAAGAAAAATAATGTAATTATGCGTGGATTGTGGAGTGGGTGGGACAGGGAAAATAATGGCATTAAGTGGGAGGGATCATGTGCCCTCGAAGCCTTGTGCATTGGCTAGGCTTGCCAAACAGACTGTAGGAGTGGGCCCACCTACACGCGCCATCCACTTTCTGTTGCGCGACTGGCGTTTCCCAAAGTCTCGCGGCCACTGCCAGCGCCTAAAATTTGACATTTTCTTCCACACACACTACCAACAACAACAACAACGTTACATGCTTAATAAAATTACAATATGGTCGGCTCCCGTAAGCATTTCAACCCTAATCTGCCCAAACAATATAAATCTAAGTTCATTGTCAACCAATTTTGTAACTTTTTTTTTTCTTTCAGCGCTTCCATTAATTATCCCTCAAATTATGCCTATGGTTATTCCACACTAACAAAAAGAAGAAGAAATTATATGTCTTTATAGATAAAATATGTTCATGTTGGTACTTGAATATTGTTTTACTAGCTATGATATAGATAAATGTATTTTCAAAACTTCACCCTTGTTTGTATTGTAATATTTAAAAAATATATGGAGACAAAAATTAAAATAGAAAAAATAATTAATTTTTTCCATTGAATTCGGCTAGAAAATTTAAAATTTACATCAGTTTTCAATTTCGATACCTAAACTTGAATGAAGTATTATAATATTTATCTTGGTTAAAAAAGATTCTCACATGTATTGAACGAATGGTAAATAGAGGTCTGGTATGAAATTAATGAACTAAAAAAAAAGGGATGATATGGAATTGGTGAGTTTGTGAAGATTTATTGTATGATAAATCTTGTGTATCGATTGACTAGGGCCTTACTGATTTGTTTGGATTTGGTTTCTGAAGAAATTATTTGGTAAACACAACACAATTATGTAAGTTCAAACTCTGATGAAATTTTAAATTAATGATAAAATCTGAGCTCACTTCGTTAAGTTCAAGATAATTGATGATTATCTTGATGATTAGAATATGTACTTTTAAAATTTTATTAATCAATATTATATAATATTTATAAAAAGTTGTAAACCGAAAGGAATTATGTCCTAATTTCAGTTTTTTAACATCAATTAAAAAAAAAAACTTACTAAATTGTTGCAAAAAGGGAATATTTTTATCGCAAGCCACACACGAATAATTTCAAACCAAATATCGAAACAGAATTGAATTGTTCAAAAAGGAGAAAAAAAGCTGGGAAGTAAGTGAAAGAAGGTTCCACGGCCTTGTACTGCTGATTCAATATTCTCAAAATAAATAAAATAAAATCTAAAAGGAAGAGGACGAAAAAAAAAAGTTTGGATTTTGTTAAAGGTAAAGTTATATTGCTTGACTAGACTTAAAACCCTTTGAGAAACAAAAGAAATTGATAGTAAATTGTTTAAAAAAAAAGAGGACTGAATAAATTTACCCTTTGGACCATCAATTTAGTGGGGGCTGTTATCAAATAAAACAAGCCATAAGTCCAACTTATGAACTGAGAAAACTGGCTCATTTTTTATTTTTTATTTTTTATTTTTATACTTTTTTAAAGAAAGCTTTACACGAAAAAACAAGATGTTTTTGTCATAAACTTTGCACTGAATTCACAACTTAAAAGTCTGAAAAAGATTAAGACATAGTGAGCAGTGTAACCTAGGTGATATTTTTCTTAATGACTTTGATGTTTATCTACAAAGAAAAAAAAAAGAAAAAAGAGAGAGGGTCTAATTTGTCAATATTGGTGGTTTGGCCATTACACCAACAGTTATAGACATGGTATTTTTTTTCCTTGGAAAAAGTGAGATTTAACGTGATTAGCGGTAGAGTAGTTTCTTTTTTTCCTCTCTCTTTTAAATGAGATAAAAAAAAATTGTCAAATTGATTGTATCCTCTTTGCTTTTTTCTTTTTGTTTGCTAACCCACTTTATTTAGAAATTAATAATAGGCATTAAAAAAACGTAATATTGGATCTAGGTCTATTTCTTTCTTAAAGCAAAACGAGAAGAAAAAGGTAAAGTAAAGACAAAACAAAAGTATCCAATGAGAAGGTTAAATTTGGGTTCAATCCCACCCCTCCCCCTATG